AGATTCGAAGAGAGAAAGTTTCGATTAAAATGTTCTTCTTCTTTTTTTTTTTTTTTAGAGTATGGAGAAGGAGGTTTTGAAGTGTGGGAAGAGGGGTGTCGTGCTTCTGTATTTCGACTTGTTTTCCTTTGGAATGCGATATGAGAGGGATTCGTGAGTCAGGTTCCTGGAGGACGTTTGGTCTCCACGTTTTTAGAACGATCAACGCGTGAAAACATCCAGTTATTTATCGATACTCCCGTTCCTAAAGTTGCCTTTAACTTTTGAATTCGTTCATGTTTCTGTAATTGCTTTTTCTTTTTTTTTTTTTCATCCAAGGAAAATATGCATATCGTTCTCATTCGAGAGAATATCAAGTTTAACGTTAACCTCGCGAATCTTTTGAACGCGTGAACTTATTTATTAATATATATATATATATAGATTTTGACCTACTTCTTTCCAATAATATCTTGAGAACATACAAAAATAATTGACTCTTTATTGCTCCTATAATCCTCGAAATCTTTAAATATCCGAAATTTCTTTTCATTTGAATAATAGAGAAAATCCCTTTATCTAATCAATCATTCTAAAGGATAAATCGAGCAAAGCTCTAAAGAATTTGTTCATAATAAATCGAATCAAACTAATCAACGTATACAGCAAGCTTTTTAACATCTATTCCAACGAGAGAATTCGAACGATATTGGAGAACGCGATAAAAAGTAGAGTTTACGCATTTTTTAATTCGAGCAAGTTTACAGAAACACATGCTCCAACAAAAAAAAAAAAAAAAGAAAGAAAGAAAGAAATGGAATGCACGCGTTGGCTCGGTCAAATCTTGGACCAAAGACGCACGCACCAGTTGAAAACATTTTTCGAGCGCGACTAAAATAAAATTACTTTCCACTTCTTCTGTATTCGTAAGGGAAGAGAAAAACAGAACGAATATAAAATTTCAAATTCTTCGTATCCGTTTCTCATAACCACTTCTTTCTCTCTCGACGATAAACAAAAACAAATCGATCCTTTTGCACGCATCCACGAAATCCATCCATCTTCAACGATCACGAATATTCACGAGTGTAGTAAATTTTCAACTATCCAATTTTTGTTTTTTTTTTTGAACTTGCAAGATCGATAAATCTTTTTCTTGTTCTGTTATCATAACACAGAAATGGCGAGTGGAAGCTGGAAAACAAATCGATTTCTCGCGCTTGGCGGTCTATCAGAAGCGTTCATCGTCAGAAGGACATAATAAAAAGAAACGCACGGTCCACTTCGTTTTCCTTTAAGATTTTTTCCTTTAAGGACGCCTCCAATAAATCTTACGATATCTGATTTATTTCGCGACAGAATATATTGAGCGGATTAATTCTGTATCTGTCCCCGCGATGACAAGCGAACACTCGTAACCTATCAATTTTACCAACTTTTAAATCTCTTCTTTCTTTCCCTTTTTGAAAAAAGGGGTTTCTTTTTTCTTCATATTCGAATTTAAGATGAAACCACTCTGAAACTTCGATAAAAGTATTTCTACTATTATACCAAATCAAAAGTTGCCAAATAAATAATACTTGATTCTGAGAGAATTAAAAATTCATTTCGCCATATCAAAGTAACGTTCCATTAAAAAAAAAAAACAAAACAAAACAAAACAATCATTCTATAATTCCTTAAATCCTACGTACCCTTATTCCATTAAAAATATATATTTATTTGCCCAAAAACTTGGAATAAGGTGCAAGTAACGCGCGACAAAGATACAAAAAAAAAATAATCCAAGCATCACGATCCTCGATAACCTTGCTAATTCAAATCAAACCTCGTAATTAACTAACTCGAAGAAAGAGCGCTCGCGCCAAGACGATCGCCATAAATCTTCCGCGAACGGATTCGCGGAGAATTCTTAATACCCTGCACTTCCCTCGAAGCGGGAATAAATCAACCGGATCGATTCCACGCGTTTTCATTCAACAACCCCCCCTCCCTCTCCAAACCAGACCACGAAACGAGTGAATGAAACGGTCAAGACGAAGAAACTCGCCTCCTTTTCGATCGATATGCGTATCCGAGGAATTAAATTTTGGAAGGGAAACGATAAAAATTGAAATTTACGGGGGATTCCATTGGAGGGGGAGAGAAGAGGAGGAGGGATTTGCGCGATAGCGACGACACGGTCCGCGAGCAGACGAGGAGGAGGAGGAGAGGAACGTTGTTTCCGCACGTGCGTGAGAGGGGGAGGAGGATCTTCATCTATTTCAGTGGATCGCCTTGTCGGAAGTATCACTCGACGACCGCTTCCTATTGTGCGATAAAACCGGGATTCGTATCCTCCTTCGTCTCGAAGGCGTACAGCTTTACACCGCGCGTGGTGAAACCTTGCCTCTTGGTGGAAAATTGTGGATAAATTGGGGGTAAATGGTGGTCGTGGTTGCGTGAATGTACGTAGGTGAATGATTGCGAGAAAATTAGCAGTTGGTGAGTTTTGGTTTAATTTATAAAGATTTCGATAAGTTTCATATAGGAGAGAAAGAGAGAGAGAGAGCCTTTCGAGTTTAACTTATTATACTTTCTCTTTGAATTTAGTCGTTTCGTTGTTTTCATTCAACCTTTTAACGATTTCGAAAACTGGAAAAACGAAGCTTCTTTCTTCTTTCTTGCATTGGATAAAATCTTCAAGTTTTAAATTAATTAATATCACGAAAACTTGGTTTTTAATTCGCTTAGCGATAATTGGGCATCGATAAAATTTCTTCACGCGTCGCGAAACAATGGATTTTCAATTTTGAGAATCTTGAAAGTATAAGTGATGACGAAAAGGAGAATCGCGATGAAAGACGCAATTAGCGACAATAGTCCGCGATAATAACGATAATAATAGTAGTAGGAAATAGAAGTTGGCTCGTTAATCAGTGGCGAAAGCGGTGTGTTAAATTTGCATGACAGTGGCATGAACAATCGATACATAAAGTGGCGGGAGAATTCATTCGAAAGGGGGGTAGGGCGAGGTCGAATACGAACACGAGATAAATCCCACGAGGAATGCTTCCAGAATGCTATTGTGAACCTAATATTTCCCTTGTTTCTGTTTTCCCTGTCTTTGCCGTCTTCTAATTACACAACCACAGAAAGATTGTTTGCAAACTGGCCGCGAGAAAAGAATCGACGCAATTTGAAAATGAAATGGCACGTGGCCCGAGCCTTTCCACATCTTTGTTTCA